CGTGGGCAACATTGCAGGCACAACTGAAAAGACTCGGTTGAAAAACTTGGCTCCTTGAGTCTGCATTTGAACTGCACCAAGGCAGAATTACAACCCCCTTGGGAGCTATTTATTTCTTTGCTGATCTTCTTGACAGAAAAAAAAATAAATGCACATCTCAAGCCTAATGAAGCCCTGTCCAACAGCCCTTCCAGTTGTTTGAAAGGGCTTTCCATAGGAAGAGACATAAGATCAGGCCAAAACTCCAGCCCTGAAACTCTCCCACAATCTCTGGGAAAGTTTGGATTCAGACTGAAATCTGGATCCGCCTTTCACAGCTCCACGTGTAAATGCAGCAAATGAACAAGGCCTGTGTGTCAGCTGCGGTGATTCACCGTTTGTCATCTGCTTATGTGCCCAGGTGTAAAATCCCCTCCTTAGCAGGAGGGACACAGTGTCATTAGCGATATTGCACAAGCACAAATAGGTTTCCCAGGTTACAAGATCACTGAGTGCATTAATCATCCCTTGCTCCTTAAGGCTTTTAATAACACACATGATTTGCATATGGGTATGTGGCAGGGCTGGGAGAAGAAGGAAAGGACACTGCCTGCCTCTGGAGTTGAAACACCTGTGTCCCTGCGCATTTGCTGTAAAACCAGGAGGTGAATATTTCCGTGAGTTCTCATGGCCCACGGTGGTGCTGGGGAACTCTTACAAAGAAAGAGCTGTAAACAAAACACAGAGATGGAACTACACACATATACCCCAGCTCAGGATCTGGCCCAGGAAGATGCCATGGTCTAGGTCCTCAGCTGGTGTAAATATACGTAGCTCCTTGGACTCCAGTAGGACTCTGACAATTTACTCCAGCCAAGCATCTGGCCCACATAATGACAAAACTAATGTCTCTTTTTTAGTGGCTGTAAACGTGCTTTGCATACACCCATATTTATAAAGCAGAGTCATCTGCAATTGACTATGAACTAGACTCAGTGTTGTCAATTCTCTTGATTGTACCATGAGTCTTGCCATATTTGGTGTGTTCTTTAAGCCCCAGCTCCTGGAATCGTGTGATTATAGGAGACTCTCTGTTCTTGTTTTAAAAATAGTAAGTTTCTAGACCTCATGTCTGTGGAGAAAATTATGAAGCAAGTGCAACCCTAAATGTTCAGTAAATAGAAGGCAAATATAAAGACCCTCAAATGTATGATTCTTTTTAAAATCTCATGTTTTTTTTAGCCAAGCTCATGATTATGGGAGGATCTGATTTAGGATTTTTGAATGCCCAGGACTGGCAGTACTGTAAACTTAGCAACCAAACAGAACAATCCCAGCAGTACAAGAGGCAAAAGCGTCCAGCCCTAACTTAGCACAAGGCTGTAGGTTGAGGACAGTTTGTTCTGTATGCTAAAAGATTGATGCCCAAAATCACCTCTAAGGAAAGTAAACACTTGCCTAACTTTCAACAGGAGACTGGTCCCACTGATGCAATGGGATTACTCATGTGTTCAAAGATTTGCCGAAGCCAGGATCCAGAAACACAAGAGCAGCCTCGCTGACTTTCACAGAGGTGTGTAAATAGAGTAGGATTTGGCCCCACTGCTGGCATTTCCCCATAGGTCATAAACAAGAGGGCTTAACTCCTTGCTCCCAGTCCCACCCATGGGGTTGGGCAGGTCTAGCTGTGGACAGAGTTTAGTCCTAGGAATGTGTCATCATCCCAAATAATCCTGAAGCCTGGACTGCTTCATTTCCTTCTCTGGTTCATCCCTCAGCTGTTGGATTCTTTTTATTACTGTGTTGGTTTTTTCCTGGTCGGTGGGTGAGCATTAGCGGTGCTGGACGTGACCCAGGGAAGTGATGTTCACATCCAGATCCAGATGAGGCTTGGGCCCGTGTTAGCAGCTCAAGGGCGAACTTGGGTTCAGGCAAGTTGTTTTTCATGACATTTCAGCCCCAAAGACTGAAATTTCATCCGTTCATCTCTTCCCAAGAGGTTTCCACCATCTTGGGCCAAGATCTTGCTCCAAGAGCTGTTTTCACAAGATTTCAGCAGCATCCAAACCTGACCAGGAAAATGGGCCCTCTATGGTTTTGAATCAGCACTGACCAGCATTGACTAGGATGAGATGTGCCCCTTACCCTATTCAAATTCACACACTACTCCCTTCTCCCCACAAGGGCACCATGTCCCCTTTCTGTGTCAGTTCAGAAAGTTTTTCATGTTTCTGCTTTGACTTCTGTAATGGGCACCTTTAGTTCCCTACATGCCCCAGCATCCTTTGCATCAAAGGAGATGGCGCAAAGGTCAGTGCAGGGCCATGAAGGTACCAGCAGCACATGGACAAGGCAGAGACTGGAGAGTAAGTGGAGACAAGAGGGAAGGGGTGACTGGTGGTTGGTGAGTGGCCATTCTCAGTGCCGGGTTTACAATGGCTCCAGAGGCTCCATGGAGCTGGGCCCATGCTCAGAAGGGGCCCCGGCCTGCTCCGGTTGCCCTGTGTCCCAAGACCCCGCTGACTCCCCCGCCCACCACTTGCTCCTCTCGGCCTGCCTGCCAGCTGGCCGAGGGCTCCTCTCCACCCCTTGGCCGCACCCGCCGGCTCCTCTCAGCCCCCTGGCTGGACCCCTCCAGCTCTGGGCAGTGTCTGCTTCCCACCACCTGTGGGGCCCCACCTGTCTTCCTGGAGCGGAGCTGCCTGGGACTGGTGCAGAAGCCTGGCCAGTCTCAGCCGGCGGGGGAACAGTGTGGAGGGCTTGGCTGGGCCCCTCCAGGCAAGTGCGTCTTGAGGGACCCCGGCCGGGGCAGGTCTTGGCCTGGCTGATTGCGCCATTCCCGAGGGGATGGAGCGATTCTCGGCCCTGGAGGTGCGGGGGGGCTGCCAATGCACATAGCCCTTGCACATGCTGTTACCTGCTTTGCACAAATCAGCCTATATGGGCACATACACATTGGATGGATTCTGGGGAAAGGGTGCATCTTTCTGGGGTGCTTTGAAAATGTGCCTGTTTGTGAGCTTTGGCTATATCTGAAACGTCATATAGGTCCCTAAATCCAGAAAAGCGTCATTAAAAGGTCCAGTCCTGCTTCCATTTAAGTCAATGGCAACACGCACTTTGACTGAGTGGTGCAGGATTGGACCCTAATAACTGGGAGATCCATGGCAGTTAAATTCTGAGAACAAGCAAGTAAACAAACAAAACAATAAAGGATGGAGCAACACAAAGTGCGGGGGGGTGGGGTGCAGGGCAGGGGTTCAAGAACATTGAAAAGACAAGATTAGCTTTAATTATTCATCAGAACACTTTATAATACTATTAAATGTCCTGTTGTATTTAATAAAACCAAATGATGTCACAGTAGCAGGAGGCCTCTGTGACATTAAGTCTTCTGAAAAGTGGGTGAAGCCATCGATTTGGGGGAGATTTTTTGGCAAGCATGATCAAAATTGCAGATTCACAACATGAGAATTAGGGAGATCTCATTGCATGAGCAATGTTTCTCAATCAGGGGTACACATACCCCTGAGGGTATACAGAGGTCTTCCAGGGGGCACACCAACTCATCTAGATATTTGTAAAAAGAACAGGAGGACTTGTGGCACCTTAGAGACTAACAAATTTATTAGAGCATAAGCTTTCGTGGGCTACAGCCCACTTCATTGGATGAATAGAATGAAATATATAGTAAGAAGATATATATATATACACATACAGAGAAGGTGGAAGTTGCCATACAAACTGTAAGAGGCTAATTAAGATGAGCTATTATCAGCAGGCGAAAAAAACTTTTGTATAATAGCTCATCTTAATTAATTAGCCTCTTACTCCACTTTTTCATGTTCTCTCTCTCTATATATATATATAGAGAGAGAGAGAGAGAGATCTTCTTACTATATGTTCCATTCTACGCATCTGATGAAGTGGGCTAAGCTTGTGCTCAAATAAATGGATTAGTCTGTAAGGTGCCACAAATACTCCTGTTCTTTTTACAGATACCTAGATGAGTTGAGGTGCCCCCTGGAAGACCCCTTTGTACCCTGAGGGGTATGTGTACCCCCGGTTGAGAACCATTGCTCATGCAATGAGATCTCCCTAATTCTCATGTTGTGAATCTGCAATTTTGATCACACTTGCCAAAAAATCTCCCCCAAGTTTTACAACAGGCTACATATAAAGCATTAGCAAAGCCAGTACAAACTAAAATCTCATACAGATACTGACTTGTTTACACTGCTCTATATACACTATACATTGAAATGTAAGTACAATATTTATCTTCCAGTGGATTTATTTTATAATTATATGGTAAAAATGAGAAAGTCAGCAATGTTTCAGTAACAGTGTGCTGGGACACTTTGTATGTTTATGTCTGATTTTGTAAGCAAGCAGTTTTTAAGTGAGGTGAAACTTGAGGGTACACAAGACAAATCAGACTCAGGAAAGGGGTACAGTCGTCTGGAAAGGTCGAGAGCCACTGTCCTAGAGTAACTAAAAACCTAGCACTATGTCTTCACTGCAAAAAAACCCTGTGTCTTTATATCAAAAGAGCAATCTCTGTGTCAGATCTTAGTGGAGGTAAGGCACAGGTCGATTACCTCAATGGAGTTAAACACCAGATTGGAGGTGTATAATATTGTGCTCAGTGAGCTACACAGAGTAAAACACTACCTGTGTCTTTCTTGTCTCCACTAGATTTCACAGCAAGACAGCGAACATGCCTTGGTTTTTTTTTGTTGTTTTTGTTTTGTTGTTGTTGTTTTTTTGCAGTGAAGACAAAGCTTCAGATGAAATGCTTTGTTTTCAAACTCTCAGCAATTCATTTGTGACGCAGACAGAGCATCTCCTAAAGGGCACTGAAGTCCCATCTCCTTCACCTGGCTAAAAAGAAAGTTCTCTGTCGTTGCTCCTTAGCTGACTTAAAGACTAACCCCTTCATGGATCAGTTGTTTCACTCAGAACCAGAAACTTTCAAGACTCAACCAGTTCCACTCCGAAAAGTAGGAAATCACACTCACCTTGCTGGCAATTCACTGGCTCCAGAGCCATTAAAAGGCACAGGGCAGCAACCTGGAGAGCCTGCATGACTGGAGAGCAGTTGTTTTGTTGCTCAGTGTGGAGGGTTCTTTGCTTTGTGAGAGGAACAATGAGCCCTGCTCCCTCTCAGAAGCTTTTGAGAGAGCCGAATGTGAAATCTGAAGACCCAGAGCACACTTAAACACGGCTGACTCCGATGGAAATGAGCCTGGTAAATTGTCAGTGACATTAATAAGTGGCTTTTAAATGGAGGAGGTACAGATGGATTTGCATACCTGCTTCCTCTTTGAGCCAGGTGAATAAGTAACGTCTAAGATTGTTTGGGAGTTTGCAGACATGCGGTTTGAATAATTGGCAGTTATTGTAGAGCCTAAAGGAATTTCAGGGGAGACAATGAACCGTGTTTGTTTATTTACTTACAATGGGGATTGTGGGGAACCGATACTAAGATCAACACATTCTTTCTTGAAAGGAGCACCCTGGTGTAGCACGTTTGCATGATACCAGAAAATGCAACAGCACCAAAACCAGAGAACCAAATCAAATGAAAGCCCCCAAAATCTAGCATTTGTAAAACTAAGCCTTCAAACTCTGACTGGTAGAAACAGTTGCACAGAAAATAATATACTCTACTGGCTAGTGGGCTATGCCGTTGCCCTAGGGAGGATGGAATCAGAACAGCAGGTCATAGACCCTGTACAGCTATGGGTGACTCTTTTTTAGCTCCAGTGGTAGGAGCTTGTGGTAATGTAGGATCTGAGTTCTATCTCAGTTCCAAGTGACCATGGTGTGCAACATAGTGATAACCATGGGGAAATAGTTTTATTTTGTGTAATGACACATCCACTCCCAGTCTTTATTCAAGCCTAAGTTAATTGTATCCAGTTTGCAAATTAATTCCAATTCAGCAGTCTCTCGTGGGAGTCTGTTTTTGAAGTTTTTTTGTTGAAGAATTGCCACGTTTAGGTCTGTAATCAAATGACCAAAGAGATTGAAGTGTTCTCTGACTGGTTTTTGAATGTTATAATTCTTGACGTCTGATTTGTGTCCATTTATTCTTTTAGGTAGAGACTGTCCAGTTTGACCAAAGTACATGGCAGAGGGGCATTGCTGGCACATGATGGCATAGATCACATTGGTAGATGTGCAGGTGAACGAGCCTCTGATAGTGTGGCTGATGTGATTAGGCCCTAGGATGGTGTCCCCTGTATAGATATGTGGACACAGTTGGCAACGGGCTTTGTTGCAAGGATAGGTTCCTGGGTTAGTGGTTCTGTTGTGTGGTGTGTGGTTGCTGGTAAGTATTTGCTTCAGACTGGGGGGCTGTCTGTAAGCAAGGACTGGCCTGTCTCCCAAGATCTGTGAGAGTGATGGGTCGTCCTTCAGGATAGGTTGTGGATCCTTGATGATGCGTTGGAGAGGTTTTAGTTGGGGGCTGAAGGTGACGGCTAGTGGCGTTCTGTTATTTTCTTCGTTGGGCCTGTCCTGTAGTAGGTGACTTCTGGGTACTCTTCTGGCTCTGTCAATCTGTTTCTTCACTTCAGCAGGTGGTATTGTAGTTGTAGTGATAACCATGGAAGCTTTAGACCTGCAAAAATATACTTACACAGATTGAAGTTCCAATGAACTCTACTTAAAAAACAAAAACAAATAAACATTCTCCTATTGTGCCTGTGATCCAGACATCTCAGCACTGATCTGCTGCTTAAATTGCAAGCTCTTTGGGGCAGGGACTATCTTACAGGCACAGAAGCACATTCTGGGTGCTGCTGGAAGATAAACAATATGTAATAACAAGGTGAAACTGACTATAAACAAAACTGAAATTGTCCTGTCTGGTGTCATTGTCTTGGCTGAGAAAAAGGAAAATAATAAACCCAAAGTAAACAAGCAGTACAAAGTAAATTAGATTCTTTCATTTTCCATTATCTAAGATGTTATTAATAACATAGGGAAAGAAATTTGTGATTTAAAAATAGTTGTCTATGAGCCAGATGCATTATTGACGACCCTAATCATTCAAAACTCATGTCACCCCCTCCCCCAATCATGAGATTGTCCGAAAACTTGTAAGATTCTAAAAATAATAAATATGTGGTTTTTTACTTGAGCTCTGACATTTTCAACTTTTATGCCCCCATAAGGACTAGAAACTTTCCTTTTTAAAAGTAAAAGCTGAGATTTTCCTAGAACCATCTGACTCCAGGAACTGGGGCTTTAAGGAAAACACCAACTATCATGTTTCAGAGTAACAGCCGTGTTAGTCTGTATTCGCAAAAAGAAAAGGCGTGTAGCTCACGAAAGCTCATGCTCAAATAAATTGGTTAGTCTCTAAAAATTGGTTAGTCTCTAAGGTGCCACAAGTCCTCCTTTTCTTTTCACCAACTATCATGAGGCTCATGATAAAATCACGAGATGTGGCAACACAGCAGATAGTGTCCCCTCAAAACCCAGCCTTCCGAAAGTTTTGTCTGAGTTTACCACACACGCGGAAGAGCTAACCTCAATTCTTGACTCTGCCACAGCCACCCTGGGTGACCTTGGGTGAGTCCCTTCATCTCTTTGTGCCTCAGGTCCCCATCTGCAAAATGGGAATACCAATATTTTGTTTCTCCCAGCCTTTATCCATCTTGTCCATTTAAATTTCAAACTCTTAAGACTCACTATGTGTCTGCAGAGTACCTAGCAGTGCATAGTGGGGCTTAGCCAGTCAGCCCTTCTAGTGCTACTGTAAGAGAAATAATAAATAATGGGCAAGTACTTGGGTTGTGAAGACATAAAAATGAAAGTTAGTTTTGACTCCTTTATGAGCTTTACCTCGGTTACATTCAAAACATATTGCTGGTCTTGGTTTGTTATTTTTAGGCTTGTCAGAATTCCAGTTTTTTTAATATATAATTTTGATGGATATCGATATCTATTTTTAAGCATTTTTTTAGGTTTTTTTAGTGACGTAAATTTTCCCAGTTGTGCAAAATTATGGGGGTGTGGGGGGAGGAAGGCACTTATTTAATGACCATAGATGATGAGGTTCAAAAAGTTAACGCTTTATAAACCGTGACAACAGAAATTGTCAGCAGTGCTTGGCAAAATACACAAAGTGAATATCCTTAAATCAACAAGTCGTACCTGTTTTTGCTGTTCATTCCCTAGTCTATCTGTAACAGGGCCTCCTTCTAAAGTCTAACTCACTGGATTTTGACTCTGCGTTCCCGAGCAGCATTTTTATTACTTTGCCTATCTATAAATTTTGATGATCATTGATGGAACTATTTTTCACCTGTTCATGTGTGTTCGGTGAAATCAACATGTACCAACATTTACTGATAAAAATCGAATCCTTCCAAGCCTAGTTGTTTTCCAGTTTCACTCACCAGTTCACCTCTAAGTAGAATTCGCTGTAATAAATGTCCAAAGTGGAGGCATTTATCACAAGACCAAAGGCCCTGGAAGAACCAGCAGTAAGATATCCCATCCTACTGGCTCCATGTAGAAGTCTAGGAGTACTTGTGGCACCTTAGAGACTAACCAATTTATTTGAGCATGAGCTTTCGTGAGCTACAGTGAGCTGTAGCTCACGAAAGCTCATGCTCAAATAAATTGGTTAGTCTCTAAGGTGCCACAAGTACTCCTTTTCTTTTTGCGAATACAGACTAACACGGCTGCTACTCTGAAACATGTAGAAGTCTGTATCTCTGCAGTGGCTGGCGTCCGCTTAAGCCACAGGCTATCAAAATATTGATTTGTGAACGTCCTATCTCAGTGCTCATGAAAAAGGTCCGATTTGCCCCAAGCGGATAAATTTTATCCACTTGCATAGAAAAATGGAAATAGAATTCTATTTGCTTCTTAAGACCAAACAGCACTTTATCACCACTGGTTCCTCCGTTTACAAGTGTTTTAGGTAAACATTTGTATGCTTTCCTTGCTTCAGAGTCTACCGAACAAATTATCTGCTTATTTTGATGTTTTAATGCATCTGCTCTGTTCTCTGATAGCCATTGGAAAGGTTTTAGCTATTGCCGAGCTTCGGATATTACAGGTTTGTCAATATATTGACTCTTAGGCACGTCAGATTTCTCATTTTTACCATGTGCTTTGTTTTTTTTAGCATTGCCTTCCCACTGACTTGTAACTGCAGCTTTGTCTGACAACAGATGCGTTTTATAGCTCTGCTTCCCCTAGCATGTAAAAGAACTGCCTAGCCCATTAGATTTTTTGTCTGTGTTTTGTGACATTTTGCATAGTTTGCTGTGAAGATTACACAACTCAGGGGCCTGGTGAACAAGCATGCACCGTTTTGCCTCTAGATTACTGGCGCTGATCCAGCCCAGGGCCCAAACCCTGCAATCAGATCCACGCGGACAGACTCTTGTATCACCTGGAGTTGCACTGATTTCAGAGGGATTCTACATGCACATCAGGCTCTACTCATGAGGATCAGATGGCAAGCCAGAGGCCCAGATTGGTAGCGAGCAAAATCTGTTCCCAGCTCATGACTCTCCAATGGCCTGTGGGAAATGGATTGATGCTGGGCTCAGTCGGTCCCCTGTGAACAGGAATCCATATTACAGAAATATCCACTGACACTGATATTAACCGGCCCCCCCTTGGTGAGCGTTCTGCTAAGGAAGCGAAGGGATGAATAGCGATATAGACTGAACTCCCCTTTCACCTTTAGAGGGCCTCTCTCCAGGTCAGGACTGAGGCTCATTGGCAGGACATGCCCTGCTGCCCCTCAAGATGTAGCAGTTCAGCAGATAAAGGGCTTATTCCAGAGCCCACAGAAATCAGTGGAAAGGTTCCCCTTGACTTCAATGGGCTTTGGATCAGACCCAGAGAGATTTCAGAGTAGCAGCCGTGTTAGTCTGTATTCGCAAAAAGAAAAGGAGTACTTGTGGCACCTTAGAGACTAACCAATTTATTTGAGCATAAGCTTTCGTGAGCTACAGCTCACTTCATCGGATGCATTCTGTCTCCCTGGCTGTCAGTCTGGCCTCTTTCCCAAGCACCAAGTGTAGTTTAAAAAGAATTATAGAGCACTTTAAGCATCTACATGTATTTGATTCCTTAGCTACAGAGTGTCAGCATGCAGAGATCAGGTGGGGCCCAGCCAACATCCATTAAAGTCAGTAGAAAGATTCCCACTGACTTCAGCAGGAGATGGATCAAACCCGTTTTCCCAGCAATCCTCTGCCTGGCTTATGTAGCCACTGACAGCATAG